TTTTTAATCAGATGATTTTTCATACAGTTCTAAGTATTATACACATCGCTGTTCTATTGTTCGTCACCCTAAACATCATGACAATAATTTAAATATTATTTCATAGGATATATAAAACAACAGAACAATCTGTACACACATTAATATATATTAACATATCGTTAATATATATTAACATAATATATTAACATAATATACATTAATATATCGATAATGATAATATTTATTCAATTTTGTATGATGCCCCGTATGTTATATTTTATGTTTCTCGAATTACCCCCTTATCTCTGCTATTTATTTCACAATTTCGGCATTGTGGAATGTGTCAAAATCTTTGAATTGGATCCATTCCATTTGAGAACAAATATAAAAGTAAATGCCATATATGTAGGAATATAATATAGAATAAGAATTCTGGAAACAAAACATTTTTCACATACGATTCTATTATAATTAAAGTTAGTAAATCTTTCATTGATAATTACCTGTTTATTTTCGATGTTAAACCCTCTCACGACATATTCCGTGTTGATCTACCTTTTGTCCTTCCGGGCAAATCATTTTATCACTTTTCCGAGGAGTATCTATGATATAAGGAGTGGTAAGCCACGTTTCAGTAGATGTAGTTTGTGTTGTTTTTTGTGTCCTATGAAATCTTTCGGTTGTTTCATGGACCGGGATAGTTTTGCACGTTCCCAATGGTATCACACATATCGTTATTATCACCATTATTAAAAGAACACGAAGAAACCTGAATGCTCTCATTGTACTTCTTGTAAAACGTTTAGTATTTTTTACTACCTAAAAGTCAGAATATTAAAGTTAGAAAGTAAAATTTTCATCTTTTTTGAACTTTTCTATTATTTCGACATTTTTCTATAAATTCTTTCTTTTCGACCTTACACATTTTTCTATAAATGCAATTTTATGATTTACTTTTCCACCTCATATATAGATTAATTTATAAAGTTCATTTAAGAATTTAACGTCAGGCAAATTTGTTCTGGTTTTAATACTTTACCTTCTCGACAAATAACCGCGCATTGTGAGATTTCTCTGCTGCGCACCTCTTATTTATAGTGAATTCGAATGATTCCTATCAATATGTATGCTTCTTTATATACTGGGATAATAAAAACTGGTAGAACAAGTCGTAGAACAGCCTATCTTGTTTTCATATTAGTAGCGCACACATTATATAGAATTATGTATATGTATATAGGGTGACTTGACCACCTCAAAAAACTTATAAATTGCTCACACGAGAAATTGTTATATACAAAAGTTGCGTGACTTCGAAGGGATTATGACACAGTGAAATTTGTTTTTTACAAGTAGAGGCGCTTCGGAAATTTCAAGGTCAACTTTATTTGTTCTCTTGAATATTTCTATCTATTAGGTAAAGGCCAACTAATGGTAACATTAAACTAAAATTATAATTAAATTAAAATTAAACATACTTTGCAACGACAGCACAAAAAATATAACATTCCATTTAAAAAAACGAAGTTGACTTTTAAATCTCTGAAGTGCTTCTATTTATAAAAAATATATACACTATGTGATGATCCCCTCGGTCATGCAACTTTTGTATATAACAATTTCTCGTATAACATATATAATTTACAAGTTTTTTGAAGTAGTCGAGTTAGATGCCACACCCTGTATACATATGTATATAGGAAAACGAGGTAATTGCGATCACTTAAGCGGAATAAACTGGTTTCATAAAACTGGTAAGAAATATCGGATTCAGAATCTGCTTAATGCAATGGATATCTATAGATGCTTACTAAAATATAGACTGATGCAATAAATTGCACAAAAATATGTGCCAGAGAAACAAATGAGAAAGCGAAAAATGAGATTTGACTAACGTTACCCCGACCTCGAAGTAGCGCCAGTCAGCGATGTTTATAATATATAAAAAAAGATACATATTTCACTGAAAATCGAACATACAATTCCATTTGCACCTGTGTATGCAGTGAGTGAAGATTAGAAATCTTTCTTCTTAATACAGGAGAAATTAATGAATATTAGTGAATAAATACGCAGGGAGGAAGCAGGGTGGAACACACGTGTAAAACTATTCGAAAAATACGTTTTTAATTCTTTCTGGCAAGAATCATTATTATTCATATTATTTATATGTATTTATACATAAATTGATTCAATACGCAATTTATTATATACGCGCATTTGTAATATAATTTAAATATTCTCATATTATGTTCAGAATTGATAACATAAATGTATTGAAATGTTATTACTATGCAGAATATCTTTGTCATTCTGTGGTTGCTGGCCGCGACAATATTTTGAAGTTCCATCTCACTTCAATAGTTTTCAGGCAACATTGCTGAAATGTTATCTTCGAGCCTGTAAGCAAACATAAAATACATATGTATTTCCGGCAGAAATTCGTCGCGAGCCCATATATAATTTTTTGAAAGACATTTACAAAGCTCGCCAAAAATTTTTGACGAGTATACCAAGTGTAGAAGTATGAAACCGGAATTTCCCTATAGATGGTCCTAGCCATCAGTTTAGGGAACGTAAGACCGCTTCTGCAGCGCCATCATCTCCCTCTAACAGCTGACGAAGATTTTCAACACACAACAACCCAAGTTTCATACACCGGTATATTTTTCTATAAACTTAAACATGTCGAGTTTTGTGCCTACGAACTACGATTTGCGGACAGCATTGGTTTTTTGTTATCATTTGAAGAAAACTGTTGCGCATCGAATGCTTGTCGAAGCTTACGGTGAACATGCTCTTGGTAAAACACAGTGTTTCGAGTGGTTCAAAAAATTTAAAAGTGGTGATTTTGACGTGAGAAACGAAGAGCGTGGTAAACCACCGAACA